TATATATATATTTTTTTTTTTTTTTGTTTGTTTTTTTTTTTTTTTTGTTTTTTTTTTTTTTTTTTTTTGTTCAAATAAATGCAGGTTTAAGGAGTATAAGAGACTTCTAAAAACATTAAAAATAGTAATGCGTCCAAACTTTTGACTGGTACTGTATATGAATATTTGTAAATAAACTTAAAATATATTGTTTATATAGAACCAGTATTTTTAAATGAGCAGTTTTACATCGCTCAATGATTTTTAAATTGATTATGCTGTTATAACGTATAAAACTTAAAGACTTACATTGATTTTATACAAGAGTAAATGATTATACAACACGAATAAATGATTCAATTAGGCTACACATTCATAAATATAGTCGACTGAATTTGAATTAGTATTTTGGATTAATTGGTTGAAAGGACTCAACTCACTCAACACACTGACTTGCTGCCACCTAACGGTGGTTTTAGTTTCATATTTAAAATGTAGCCTATCATTTAATTTAGCACTTAATTTTATATTTAAAACATTAATCTCCTAACATAATGCAATTATAATTGCTGTGTAAATCAATTCATACCACATCTGCATTAAAGAGCCTGCGTTAACAGGATGCAATCATTTTGCAACCTGTAAAATATAGCATCATTTGTACTGTTGCACACAATAAATCAGAATGCATTATGGGTAGACAAAAGTGACTCAAACTCGGAAAGTATTAATAAGAGGCATAATCGCCTTTGACCAGAATTATTTGCTCAACATCTAACTTACCTTTCCTGCTTCCTCGATGGAGGCCAGAAACACATCCTTCAGGTCTTCCAGGTCTATGATGTCCTCCCCAACAAAGGTCTTGTCTTTCAGCGTGTCCAGCGTTACACCCACCTTCTCCCAGAACTTTTTAAGATCAACCAGAACTTGCTGGATTTGATGAAGACACTGCTGGACTTCTGTCAGGTGGACAGTACTGGGAATCTCACCTGGACAAACATACAACACATACTGGTTTATGAGATATCACGGTTAGCCTTCAGATTTTCACACACAAAGTGGCGAAGAATATGAAAAGACCACCACATGCATACGGATGCAGATTTACTGTATGTTTGGAACAATAACTTAAAGCACAGAAAGCCTCTCACCCATTTTTATTTTGTTAGTGGCCAGCTTCAGCTGAAGATCAGTTTGTCGGATTTTGATGTCCCACTCATTGTTTCGCAGATGGTTCTTTTCAGTCTCTAGATGGGACAGTTTGTCTTCTATGGCAACATAACCAGCTATCTTCGAAAAATCTTGACTGACTCCAAACAGTATCTGAAAGACCATGAAAAACAAGGAACGTTGTTTTTCTTCATATTTTCTGATGCGATCCTGCAGCTCGTTGGTTGAGTCTTTAATTTTCTTCTCATTTTTCTTCATATCGTCAACATTTTTCCTCAGCTCCACTTCAAGCTTGGCCAAAGCATCCTCCAAACCCTTCATCTCATCAGAGTGTTTTGTTTGTTTTTCTTGGGTCTCTTCCTGTTCTTCAAACACATTACTGGTGCATGTTGCCACACTTTTATTTTGTTGATCATACCTAAATAATATTTCAGATAAATGAGCGAATAGTGATGTGGTCCGGATTTCACAAACCCAACACAATATAGACGCGGAACAATTTTCCTAAAGAGGACCTATTATGCCCTTTTACAAAGCCTTGATTTTGTTTTGGGGCTATTGAAATTTTTAATGCTTGAATGTTCAAAAAACATGTTGGGTCTCATTTACTAATAATTGTGGATATTTTACATGCATAGGACAACTTCTCAAAATAAACTCTGAATTCACAACACGTGGATTTGTTCTTAACTTCATTCTGATGTTAGTGATTTTGGAGTATTCTAAATGAGCTCCCGCATGCCCAAGGTTAGTCATTAGCATAAAACACAGCCAAAAGATCTCTATTTAAGGGATTTCCAAACACGCTTTCCTTACTCACCAAACTCTCTCATGGTGGTGTCATTTAAGAAAAGTAACTGTTAAATTGCAAAGAAAGCAAGAAAAAAAAAAAAAGAAGCAAATTAAGAGTATTTTACGCCTCACAAGGAATAACAGTCAATTTTATTACATTTACTCTTCTTAAATAAGACATCCTAAATGACATGCGCAGCCTACAAATTCGACCTCCAGAGAACGCAGCCTCCGAAATGACACAGCTAATAGGTGTATGCAATGAAGTGCACAGACCTCCGGAGGAACAGGGGCCAAGTGGCGAGGGCACAATCACGGCCCGGGGGCCGAGTTGATCCCCCTCATCGGCGATTAAAGGGGCGACTTGAAGCAGCACTGCGCAGAACGATCAGTGTACGACATCAAAGTACCGCGAGATAGATTCAAAAGTATACAGAGCCGTCTGCTCTCACTGTACTTTGACGTCACACACCAATACAGTAGCCCTGTAACTCTAAAATGGGCTCAAATTAGTTTGAAATGGATGGCATCGTTAATAGGAACAGATAGTTTACAGTTATGCTAAGGAGCGTGATGTTTCCAAAAGACGCTCGAAGCACCAATCACAACACACTAGGCCAGCAAACCAATCACAGCAGACTTCGTATTTCAGAACGAGGGCCTTCATTATAAAAGGAGCTAAATGGGGCATTCGAGCCAGACTGCGACAAAAGGAGCCGCAAAAAGAATGATTTTTTTTTACATTCAAGCATTAAAACTTAAAATGATTATTTGCTGTAAAATACTAAACTTCTTTATGATAGTATTACTAATATTTTCACCTCTTCACCATGTCATCAACCGCTGTAATGATGTCACTGATCCATGCTTTGGCTTTCTCCAGGTACCTTAATGCCAGAACAGGTTTGTTCATCTCAACAGCTTTCTTCAGTATTGGGAACAGGGAGGCGACCAGGTTGGAACTTGTGCCGACGCACTACGAGAAAACATCATTCATCAACAAAGTTAATAATTTGATACACTAGCAAGTCAGTGACCATATAAAAGCAGAACAGTTAAAAACAGTAGTTCCATGTTACTTCTGAACCATATTCTATGTCTTGAAATATTCTAAATGAGAGCAATGTTTGTGTAAGTAGATGTGTTAGGAAATTTGGATATTAACTTGGATATTTAAACATTTTAATTATATTCTGCTGAAAAGAACGAAATGGCTTAAAAAAAAAAAAAAAAAAAACAGTTTTAATTTTC